AGGGCGAGGAGGAGGAGGGAAATGGAGAGGGCGAGGAGGGAGGACGCACGCGGCCGTGAAGGGTGTGACCCCCAAAAGGCCACGCACACATGAACACGGACTGGGAGCGGTACGTCATACCGCGTCAGGTGGGATGGGGGAGAATCCTCGTCCTGAGGACGGCAAGGAAGAGAAGGAGGATGAGGAGGATGAGGGAGGAGCAGGAGGAGGAGGAGGAGGAGGAGGAGGAAGAGGAGGATGGGAAGGAGGAGGAGTCGGAGCAAGGCCGATTGAGACATGTAACGACGGGGGCTCTCCCGCCCAACGCGCCTCCGCCCCACATCTGTGCCATGTGCCCCTCCCGGTTGTCCAGTCTCAAGTCGGGCCTGTCCCCCGACTGGGGGATTCTGGACGAAAAATAAGACATACTCCAAAAATACTCAAAGATGCCCCAACATACCCAAAAATGTGCCCCAGACTATGCCTTGACTACTTTTGAATATATTCCCCCTGTAGAGGGACAGGCCCGACGTAAGTCCAGTCTGGCCCTCTGCCTGCAGCGGAGGAGCGCGGCCGCGGCGACGAGGAGGGCCTACGGAGTCCAGGCACCGAACGGCGAAAGGCGCCTGGGAGGGCTGCCGCTGCCTCGACCCCCGCCCTCCTCCGAGAGGAGGAGGAGGAGGAGGAGGAGGAGGAGGAGGAGCAGGATGAGGAGGGGGAGGAGGAGGAAAGGAGGAGGAGGAGGCAAAGGAGGACGACCCACACATCCGACGCCGTGCCTTTCATGGCGTGGCGTTCGAGAAGTCTGGACCCCTTCCCTGGAATCTGCTCTTCCTCCTGAGTCGTTTTGTGACGGCCCCGGGGACGGGTGAAGGGAGCACTGAGAAACCGAACACGACAAAGCACAACCATTCCGAGGTGACTTTGATCCAGGAGGTGGAGACGGCAGGGACGGAGGAGGAGAGAGGCAATTCCTGGGAAGTCGAATTCAACATCGGCGCTGGAAGGCCCGTGGTCGAAACCTGGCCTAATCCCGCCCGCTCGAGTCCGCTTCCAAGCTCATCCAATGCGGTCGCGTGCTCACGCTGGGCTGATCCGGCTTGGTGGCCCCCCCCCGTCGGGCTTGTAGCCCTTGACCGTTCCCACGGAGACCTCCCAGCAGCTGCCTCTCAACGGCGAAGGGGGAGGGCATGGGAGGAACATCGGAAGAGAAAGAGGAGTGACCCAGCCACGCGCGAGGGGACGGACGGTCAGGAACAGGTGGGGGCCAGACGAGACCGGTCCAAGAGATACGATACATCCGCTGCCCCTCGAGGAGGCTACGGTGGGGGCATTGGGTAAGGAACCCTTAGATAAGGCATCCAGGGTCTGGAAGCTTGTGGAACATCAATTGGGGCTTCGCCATGGATATCACCGCCGCCCGCATTGGATAAGGAATCCTCCAGGGTCTGCAGCCTCCTGGGCACAAAACATTCCTTAACCAACGCCCCCACCGTATTCCGACACACGCGGCCCAGGACCCAAGCATCCGCACAATGGCAGCACGTGAGGCGTGCCGGCCAGCGGAGTAGGCGCAGCTCACCTGCGAGCTTGCTGGTGTAATCGCGCACTCATGGCCGACTCTATGTCGCAACGAGTGGGGGGGGGGACGCAGCATATCATAACAGCTAGTGTTAGGTCGGGCATGTCCCCCTACAGGCGGATGTTGGGCGAAAATAGCAAATAGTCAAACATGTTCAAACATGGTCAAACAGACTCAAAAATAGTCCCCAGACTATTTTAAAACTATTTTTGAATACTCCTCCTGTAGAGGGACATGCCCGACTTACAACCAACCAGTGGGAGGGAGACCACCCAACACATCACACACCCCTGGCGGTGTACGGTGTCAGCCACTGCCCAAAACTGCAGCACGCAGGAGATGCACCAGAACCCCAAGAAAATTCTGGGTCGGAGGGCTGGTACGCCCGACGCTGGCCTGGGCATGGAGAACATGGCCCAGGCCAGCATCGGGCGTCCCAACACGATCCAGATCAAGGCTAAACAAATGCACAAATCATCATCGTGAGAGTTCGAGGACAAGGCGGCCGCTCGCGCAGTCATGGACGTCTCGAGGACTAATCCCTGCCAGTGCATGTGCAAACAATCCAACACCACCCTTGCCCTCTGGGCTCGCTTCGACGCCCGAGCGGATCTCCGCTGGAGGAAACGCGTGCTCGGCAGAAGTGCGTGAATGAATGTGCGATGGGAACCACTGGACCGAAAACCACTCTATGGGGTCGCAGCCGTTCAAAGGAGTCCTCCACTTGGTGCACGACGACTGCGCGTACGATGTCTTCACGCTCGAAGTAGTGCCGCGCGAGTGCCGCCTCGTGGGAATGAACCCGCACACGGACAACTTAGCCAACGTGGGCATGGCGAGCGCCGACTGGGACAAGATGACCGAGATTGCGTCGCGCATGTCGCGACCGGGTGCGACTACGTCTCGGACTTTCTCTGCATTGGGTTCACCACTGGCCATCGCTCGGACGTACATTCCCCGTGCATTTGTCAATTTCGTGCGTGATTTTTCGCTATATGATCAAAGATGCTCCTCGATGGTCCTCGCCGAGAAAAAATGCACACGTCCGAGCGATGCCAAGACCAGAGGCTGGTGGGGGCAACGACGACGACTGGAACTCTGACGAACATCACCCACCATTAACATCGTTATCAATCGCCAGGAGATTGCATGTGAGATTGCATGTGGGTTATGATGACGAGAATGGTTCGTCTTCTTCCAATTCTCCTTCCGCTTCCTCCTGTGGCTCTTCTTCCTTGTCCTGTGGCTGTCTCCTTGCCGAACCTGTCCCACCTGCGCCTGCCACGCGCACAGCTCCGATTTCTAGTGCTAGCTGCACCAATCCACGTGAACGTTCTGGCGCCCTTGTGCATGACCAACGCCTTCTGTGCTGGGATGGACTCTCACGGTAGTAGCATAGAACAATCAATCTCCTTTCGGTGCACAACTGCCCACTCAAACAACACATCCTCACAAGCTGAACCGGCTACACGGGCACATGAGGCATTACTCAATTATCCTTCTCCGGGAGGTAAGGGGTGCGCTCGACAGTCTTCGATATGTTCTTCATGAGGTTGGTGGTACTTGGGGACGTGGCACTTTCCCTGACAACGTGCGCGCCGGGGGCTGCGCCATCTTCGTTCATCCCGCCTTATTGGCGCGTGTCCTACGTCGAGAACATGCGATTCACGTTCCTGGACGCATACATCGTCTGTGGCTGTGGAAAGGCCACCTCCGGCTTGCAATGCGCCAACATTCATCGTCACCCGGATCTTCCGGCCCCTGCTCAGTCCGATGAACTGGCGCGGGCGCGTCGTGAAGTGGCGCCCGACTCTCACTTCGCCGCGGCTGTGGCGGGCGACTTCCACTTCGCCGACGATGGGAGGGCGGGAGGGCCCGCGTCACCGGCCGCGCGACGTTCTCGCCCTAACGCTTGGCCAACGATTTCCGCTCACTTGTTCCCTGCCCGGCCGAGGTGGATCAGCCGCAATGCAGCCGCAGGGTCGCAGAAAACGGAAGGCCGCAAGGCGGTCTTGTCGATGGCCCGACTGGACCGCATCTACTTGAATTTGCCGACTGCTGAGCTTCGCGACCTGGCCCGCACCAGCTCCATCCTGGGCTCTGCGGCCGACCTCTCCTCTCTTTCTGATTACGCTCCTGTCGTGGCCAATCTCTCTCCAACGCGAGGCCCTCCCGTCACCGGAATCATCGAGGACATCAACTCGGACCCCATGTTCGCGACGACCACCCAGAATCTTGTGGACGAAGTGGGCCCTGTCTCCGAACATCCTTGCGAGCGGCTCGGATAACTCCGCATTTCATCGCGCTGCTCGACAAGCTCGGCATGAGCGGGAGCGCAGCGGGGCAACTACCACAGCTGTTAAGATATCTTTGGCGCTAGTTGGAATGCGCGCAGTCCGCGCGTACGACCCTGCTCTTCTTGAGCGTTCTCTCGCCGCTTCTCCTGTTCTGAGCCGATGTCTTACCATCGACCCCCTCGGTTTCACCGATCGGCCAGGATTCAATCGACTCCACGGCAGCCTTCAAACCACCCAACTGGAAGAAGACATCCAGGAACTGAACACTGACAAGCGCGTGAGTGACGCAGTGAAGAAACCCAAGATCAAGCAGCTCGGACAATACAAGAAGGCGTAGCGAAATGCTGGACGGCACATCCCATTTCACGCCATCGCTGACCCTGCCCTCCTCCCCCTCCATGGCCCTTGGGCTGCTGGTGCGGAACTTGCTTTGTACCCATTGTTTCCGTGCCCATTTCGCCCCCCCCCTCCCCCCCGAATTGTGGGCCCTTGCAGTTTGAGTAGGGACCGTCCGTCCCGGCATTCCCATAGTCCTACCACGACATGTTCTTAGAACCCAAAAATGTTCTAAGAAGCAAAACAATGTTCTT